TTGTAGGAGTTTTTCTTTTCTCCTGACATTTTGGTAGTTCTTTAATGAAGACAGATGGAGCAGCATTATAAACAAAGCTTCTGTCTTGGGCGGGGGTGTTACAGTATGTGACCCCTCCTCCTCAAAATTCCCTTCCTATTAACAAAATGTTAAACTGAGTCACATAAGAATGTTGCTAGTAGTCCACAACTGCAGCATTTCAAGCTGTGGATACTTTAACTGTGGAACTTCTCTGAGGTGTTTTTTTTTTAAACAACACTTCAGTATTTCATGTAAGCCATATACCGCTGTAGCAAAAAGTCTTGTGGCATCCAACACATTGGTTGCGGTGTAAGCTTTTGTGGATTGGGAACTACTTTGCCAAACAGTTGTGTCAAAGTGTTCTCTGTGGTGTCATGTGGAGTATTTTTTAACCCAATGATTGATTGCTAAAATTACAAATATGCACAGTACGGGGCCATAACCAGGATTTTGTAATTCAGGAGGCCTTTAAATAAGTCGGGGGGCACTGACATCACGAAATAAAAAATAAAATAAAAATAAAATTTTTAAAACTCACTTTTGCAGTCTACTTGCCTATGCGGGGAAGCAAGCTGCACTTGGGGAAGGGGGAGCAGTGGGGATTCCTCCAGGTGGTCCAGAGAATTGGGGGGTCTGGGGGCTGCATGGAAGTCAGGGGGCCTTGGCAGGAAGTCAGGGGGCCAGGCCCCGAAATGCCCAACATAGGTATGGGCCTGGCATAGTTTATGTGATCAGCAATAATTTGCCCAAATGTAAAGTTCTGGGGAGATTTTAGGAGAACAGTATGCCAAGGTAGGCTTAAAGATGCCATGCCTATGAAACTGATGTTACAAACGAGCACTGTTACACGTTACAACCCCCCCCCCATAAAGATTTGTTCAGCAAACTTCAGAAGTTCTAGGGGTGATTTAAACAGATCTTCTTTGCACAATCAGTGTAATGAACAAAAATGCTGCAGATTTATGGAACTTTGGTATACACGTTGTATGTGAACGATCTCATTGTGTATATTTATAAACAGATATTACAAAGGACCTAGGCAGACATCCTTTGTGTGCAAAGCAAGCAGTGCCTGTCATGGAACAAAGTCTGAGTCCCGTCATAGGTCTACATTCGAGTCAGTTGCTAAAATCTCAGTGTTGTCAATTCTGATGCAAAAGCCGTTACTTCCCCCTGTCCCAATGTAAAACTCTAGACTCAGCTGATATTTTTGTCTCAAATGGACTTTCTCTGAAATGGGCTTTCTCTGAAATGGGCTTTCTCTGAAATGGGCTTTCTCTGATTTCGAATGGGCTTTCTCTGATTTCATTGGTGAAATCTCAATCAACCATCCTTGACCATGAGCAAGAAGTTAATGTAAATTAAAGATGACCAATTATTCCTTGGTATGTTTTTTGGAGCTTCACCTATCATAATTGTTAAGAAAATGAACTGTGAGCCAAGAGTCTTGATCCATTTCGTCCTATGACTCATAACACACATGTTTAGAATAATGTAAAAGTCAATTAAAATATTTTTAAAAATTAAAATGCCAGTCTAACCATCAACAAATGTTGGTCATGTATCCCAAGGTCAACACATGTTGGTCATGTATCTCAAGCTGTCATTGACTTGCTTAACTGAATATTTTATATCTAAGGTGGCAGTGCATTCATCCATAGGGTCTGCCCTGGGAAAATTATGGAGACTCATGTGAGATTCTCAGACTTAGATATGGTATATGATGTAGCAGTTCCTGTACAATAAGTCCACTTGCCCTCAGACTTCCACTTCTCTCTGCTTTCCTGAATTGCTGTTCAGTGACACATTATAAGGATCTTGTTCCTTTCCCAGTTGATACTAGACTATGATGCAATATACTCCCTCATTAGTAAACCTGGACATTGTATTCAAATAGTTCAGGTTACGCGTGATTATTTAGCATGTTTCTCCTCCTACCTGTCTGACCACCATTAACTACTGGCTAGTTCTTTTTGTTGTGAGAAGGTGAGATAAACTGTGGTTGCTTAACAACAAAAAGATGTGTCCAGCAACCATATCCAGATCAAGTTGGAAGTGTCTGGGAAAACGCTCCTTACACCGACAAAATTTGCAGCCAGGTTTAGAGACTGGTGGTGGCATCAGTTTGCCATTCTTCATAAATTTGTGGGGTGTGGGACAGGGAGTGTACATGGATCTAGTTCCCTGCCTGTGTTATCCAAGTACCTAACACTAGCCAGGAAAAAAAAGCTACTATATACTGGATGTCACTATAGTTTGTATTACATGGGGAAATTAGAAAAAAATGACAATTATGTATTTACAAAGAAAACAACCAAGAAAACCTGTGCATTTGTTGCAGCAGTTAACATCCAGCTCCCTTATGGTTCAATACATAAGATTTTCTAAGTGTATTTTCATACAAGCACAAAAATAAAACATTTTGTATTCTACAGTATATTACAAGGACAGCAGTCAATAAATAGCTCAATAAATAGTGGCTGTGTGGATGTAGGTAAAGCTGGCTTGAATTAGTCCTTGGTGGCTTCTTTGGTGTTGATTCCCACGCAGAGTCATAGACCGTTCTCTCAAAGACAAGTCCCTTATCTCATGCTGGGAAGATAGCTTTGCCTTAAAAGTGTAAAATGGAGGCAGAGCACAGTACAGTCAACTGTAGTTAAGGGCAGAGAGTCAGCATCAATTACACTTTGCAAGGAATCTGACAAATTTCCAGCTTAGTATAAATAAAGCATCAGGTCTATTGTTTCTCAGCTCCGACACCTTCTTATCACAGTGATTTGTTGGGGAAGAGTGGCGGAAACATGACATGTGACTCCATCGTATATGGCTGAAGTGGAGCAAGGGGGGGGAAAGAATGGCCTTGTGAATTTCTAGCTTCAACGTCCTCATAAGGAGTTCTTTTCTTTGTCTCCAGAGGGGTTCCATTCAGATTTAGCCAACAGATGATGCTGCTCTGTATAATTCTTCCCTTTTAGAAACTTAAGATGCAAAGAAGATTAGTTATTTGAGGGCCACACATTTCTAGTTGCTCTCATTCATTGGCCTAATTTATATATACCTGGTGAAAACTGTATGGAGAAGATGAGCTGCAATATAAGATCATAAAGGTGCTGGATATGACCAAAGGTTCATTTATTGCAGAATTCTATTTCCAACAGTGGGTAGCCAGAGACATTTGAAAATCTCCTAAACAGGGCATCAAGGTGATCTCCTGTTGTTTGGCTTCCAGCAGGTGGTATTTAGTGGTATTCTGTCTCTGAACATCATAGAGATGTGAGGCATGCCCGAAAGAGGAGATTGCAGTCCAGTGGAATTTGGATCTCTGAAGGAGGAACCTCAACAAAGGGGTTTGTTCCTGCAATCTCTGGTTTAAACAGTAGTAGATACTTGTCTGTAAGGCAGTATGAACCACGTGCAGTTTGCAAACTAGCACACCCCTAGTATATTTAATTTTGTTGTGTGGGGTGCTTGTATGTTTCCTATAGTGGGGCAAATAAGAGCATCGGGGAAAGGAGAAACCGAGGTCTTGAAAATGGAGGGAAGGGGTGGGTTTGTGGCTCATCATCTTAGAATGAAAAAAGTTCTAGGTTCAATCCACATCATCTCCATTTTAAAAGATGAGGGAGTAGGCAACATGAGAGACCTCTGCTTGTGAGCCAGGGCAGCTGCTGCCACGCCAAAGAAACAATACTGATCTGGGTAGACCAATGGTCTGATTTACTACAAAACAGCTTTGTGGGTTGTTTAAACCCCTCCCTCCATATAAATACCGTATTTTTAGTTCAAATCACACACATCATAGCTGCTATTCACCAGTAAAAATACTAGTTTGGCCAGTAAAAATACTAGTTTGGCTGCCTAATAAACTATTTTTGCCTAGCATTGAATCAGGGAAGAAATGCACAGGAGCATTATCAACATTTTGCACACAAAGTGAAATAACATGAGCATCTCATCTGTGTGACCCCTGAAAAATCATAAAGGCCCCCCCCGAATGCATTGTTGTTCCATTGACACAGTTCTTATTGAATCCTTCAAGTTCTTGAGAACCTGTTAATTGTTCTTTTGATGCATGTGTTAAAAATGGACAAAAAGTGGGAAGTAACTCTCAGCATCTCAAACTTTGGAGTTTACTTTATGCAATCAGCAGACTCCGACGTTTTTCCCAATTAGGCCATTCAGATAGGGGAATAGCATATTAGAATGCTTCCTGGCCTTGTTGGGGGAGGGGTGGAAAGTATCCCGAGATACAACTTTACTAAGCCCATGCCATTTTTCAACATTCCAGGGAAGTTTCATTTGGTAGGGAGACATGGGGCGATTTTGCACTAGAGTTGCCTCGCAGCGCAGCCGCCATTTGCCCCGACACTATTTGTCAATTTCACACCTGAGGCTGCGGGGCTGCATTTGACCCGCGACTTCGCCCGATTTCCTCCACAGTTTCGTGATCCTCAAAAACCAGGATCACGAAACTGTGGAGGAAATCGGGCGAAGCCGCGAGTCAAAATGCAGCCCCGCAGCTTCGGGTGTGAAATTGACATGTTTGTGTCGGGGCAAATGGCGGCTGCGCCGTGAGGCAGCTCTAGTGCGAAATCGCCCATGCAAGGAATATCCCCATTTACTGTCCTAGGTAAAACTTTTAAAAACTTACACGATTGTCACTGGATTCTGGTGATTGCATAAAATTGCATACAGCACAACCCACCCAAGCCAAGAAGGTAGTAAACAGCCATTTCACTCAATACAAAGTCCTTTGTGTTGTGAACTTTGAATCACGTGAATTAGCCCAAATATACATCCCTGCTAATCTGCTGCCTGTTCCCTCTGCTTCAAGTTATCTGTACATGCCTCATTTAAATAAGCTCATTTGAATATGTACACATCAAAACTGTACAAATTTACAGATGGGACAATTAAATACTCAATGGCCAAAGGTGCCATGCAAGGGGGTGCACTGGTACTATCGGCAGCCACATTCCAATACTGACATGTCGTCATAGTTTAGCTTGTAGGTAACCACACCTTTATCTAAGTAAAGCAAAGAGATGGGAGCCAACTTAGTAGGTACGCAACAGGCTGGAGAAGCTTTCTGGGGGTCATTCAAGTGAACCAAAGTCCGGGCCATGGCATAGGTGGTTGTGACTTGATCATCCAGAGGGTAAGAGCATGCTCCCTTACACTGGTATGCTTCGTAGGTTTGTGGAGCAATGATCCAGGAATCCCAGCCAATCTCCTTAAAGTCTACAAGGAGTGAAGTCCTTTTGCAACTGCTCCCGGCATTCGGAGGTTGAGTCATAGATAATGTTGGACCTCATCTGAAGAAGCTTCTCTTCGCTGGGTCTGGTGTAGAAATCGTTCATTTCCAGGTCCTGCAGATCTTGCATCTGCTCGTGCTCTATCATCTCATTCAATTCATGCTTCCCCTCTTTCTTGTCATGGCCTTGGTCATCTGAAAATACAATCAATAAAGGCTCGTGTCTGGCCTCTGCATTGATGTCTATATCTAGTTTCCCTCGTCCATTAGGCTCCTCTCCCCCTCTGTTCTCAATCTGCACTTCTAGCCGATGAGTGGTTGAGTCTGAGTGATGCCATTTCCTGATGGCCTCTGTGACCTCAAATGTTTTCCATTCATTGTCAGAGCTGTGAATGTGTCTGGATGCCAGCACTTTCATTTTCTTCTCTCCTTTCTTTTTCCCTTCTCCGTGTTCATTCTCCAGCAGTTCAAAAATGGTGACCTTCCTGTCTGAACCACCATAAAGCACTCTTTCATCTTCACCCAAGGTGTAGAGCCTCATTTCAGCCATGGTTATCTTTTCATGGTGAGGGATGGAGATGTTGAAAAGAAGAGGGTATCTCCGTATTCCATTAAAGTGGACAGGATACAAAATCTGCTCTGGGGATTAAAAATAAATATTTATTACACTTCTGCTTTGTAAATGTATGAGCACATGCACCCAGTAAGGAGGCTGTACGCTTAGGGCATGTCTACACTACAAATTTAAACTAAATTGAATCCACCTTGACTATCATTCAAGAAACCTGTGCATAGTAGTTTAGCAAGAGTGCTGAGGATCAATTCTTAGACTTCTTTTTATTCTGCTTATTTGTACTCTGATTTTTTTATTTTATATGATCCTCTTGGTGGCCAATAGGAAAAGTGGTATAAGGTCAATGCAAAAGGAAAGTGGCTTCTTAAACAATTTCTACTAATTTGTGTTATAATTGCCTTAACAGCTTACAATGGAAATTTCTAGAAGAAAATTGGAACGATGTATAATTGGTAAAATCAAGTTTTTCTAGGAAAGATAAATCAAGTCACAAATAGCAAAAATATAATATTATGAGTGGCGAACCAGAATCTTTTTTTTTAATAACTGCCCCCAAAGGGGCAGGGTTTTATTAAATTTTTCACATAATAAACATAAACAAACATAATATATACATACTAACGTACAAACAGATACATGGGGGTTATTTTCATTTTTACCAATGTTTATACGGATGCCATTCCACCTTAATAACAATTTCTCACGAACTGTGTAAGCAACAGAGAATCTGATATGGTCACTGTAAACAACAATGACAGGTACCATTAAAACATCTATATAAAATTTGTACAAATGTAGTTAAGTGATGTAAGTTTGATCACAAGGCAATATCCAGTCAATGGACACAATCCACTTGGAAATTCTTACCACCCAAGATCTATTGAAATCAATGGAAGATGTGCAAGATGACAAAAATGGTCTTGCAAAAAACTCCCAAAGATTTCTATGGGTCTTATGCCGGAAAGCCTGTTTGGTGTAGATTTGTTGCAGTGATTAAGTGCATGGACTCTCATCTGGGAGAATTGGGTTTGATTCCCCACTCCTCCACATGCAGCTGCTGGTGTGACCTTGGGTCAGTTACAAGTTCTTTCAGAGCTGTTCTCTCAAGAGCAGTTCTCGAGAGAGTTCTCTCAGCCCCACCTACCTCACAGGGTGTCTGTTGAGAGGAAGGGAAAGAAGATTGTAAGCTGCTCTGAGACTCCTTTGGGTAGTGAAGGGTGGGGTATAAATCTAATCTCTTCTTCTTCTGTAGAAATTAATTAACAAAATAAAAACCATTTGACAGTGCTGGTTTGCTGAGAAGGGTGTATTTAAAAAACTTCAGGAGGAAGGTCTAGGTGCAGAAGTGCATCATGAGTGCTCTGTTTTCTTCAATAATTGTCATGTCATAACATATTCCATTATAATGTTGTGATATATGTGTGTGTTTTGCAGAAATGGGGAATTAACAACCTGATCTACAAGATGCTTAAGGTGGAACATTTTGATATAAACAACTTAATTGGGGAACCATGAGTAAATTTTAACTGGTTTATGGATTGGACAGTTATAAAGATCTTAGTTAAAGGTAAAGGTTTTCCTTGCTCGAAAGCCAGTCGAATCTGACTCTAGGGTTGTGGTGCTCATCTCCATTTGCAAGCCAAAGAGCCAGCGCTGTCCAAAGATGTTTCCATGGTCATGTGGTTGGCATGACTAGACGCTGAGGTGCACGGAATACTGTTACCTTCTCACCAAAGTGGTACCTATTTATCTACTTGCAATTTCTTGCTTTCAAACTGCTAGGCTGGCAGGAGCTAGGAGCAGAGATGGGAGCTCACTCCGTCATGCAGCACTCGGGTCTCGAACTGCTGAACTACCGACCTTCCAGTCTGCAGTTCAGTGTCTTAACCACTTGAGCCACCGCAGCATCCCATAAAGATCTTAGTAGGGGCCAAATTAGATGTGATGTTGAGAAAGCCAGTAATAGATGTTTCATTTTATTTAAGTAGAAAGAGCAGTCCTTGGTATGGGGATCAGACAGGGAATATGGCATGAGGGAAGGGGGTTTAACAGTTTGCCCTGCAGTTGCCTCCCGGGAAATTCTGTTTGCCCCAGAAGGGGTGGACTTTGAGGTACCCATGGGGCAAAGAGCCACTGGTGGGGCCCTGTGTAAGCGGGGAAGGGCGGTTAAGAAATCCAATGGAATAAATAAATAAACTAAAGTTGAGGAAGTTGCAGACACACCCCCAGCTGCTATTTTCAAGGATTCATTGGTCTTGTGTTTTTATTATGGCTTAGACATAATTGAGTACTGTGGCAGTTAAGTCATATTAAAAAGCCACAGTGCCCATTTAACATCATGCTACACTGTTATTTATTTTTATTAAAAACTGGCATTTGCAAATAACAGCCTACATTACAAACCAATTAAAACACAATGCTAGGTTTTAAGCCAGTTTAGTTCCATTTACTTCCATCTATCACTGACACTGGAATATTCTATCCATCATGAAATTCTCCCATGTAGAATTCCAGCATCACCACCATCTAAGACACATGCATAGATAAAATATGCCATTCTTGCAAATATATATATATATTCCATAAGTGAAATCCTGATAATTGTTTACATGTTGAATTCTTCATTCTTCTGTTTCCATGCAACAAAGCCTTAAACAAAACTTTCTAAGTCTTCCTTCCTTTTAATCCAGACATTTAACTAACAGGTTTTTGTATCTTTTTAGCTTTTTTGTCAGACATCATCCTATCCATGTAAACACCAATGACAGGTACCATTAAAACATCTATATAAAACTCCTACAAATGCAGTTAGTTGATGTAAGTTTGATCACAAAGCAATATCCAGTCAATGGACACAATCTACTTAGAGGTTCTTATCAGCCAAGATCTATTGAAATCAACGGAAGATGTGCAAGATGACAAAAATGGTCTTGCAAAAAGCTCCCAATGATTTCTATGAGTCTTATGCAGGAGAGAACTTCTGGGTGGGTTTGGGCCATTGTGATTCCCTCTGAAAAATATGAAAAATTACTTCTGTAGTACAGACATCTTAAACGTGGTACAAATGAGTAAGATCCCTTTCCCAGTTTTAGATCCCAAAATCTAAGCATCAAAGCATCCAAGATATTTTTTTTTTTAATTCAGAGATGGACCATGCAATGAAAGATCTAGAAAACAGTTCCTACTTCAAATGGTTTGCAGGATGAAATTCAACTAGCTGGGCAGATCAGATGCACGTTTCATCATAAAGTAAGGAAACCCACTAATTTACGTTAGCCAGATCACTTTGGTATTGTGTCTCAAACAGTCCTCTTGATCGCATCAAGTTAACAATTGTTCTCTTTCAACAATACAATCTAGTCATAATATAATTATTGGAAACACGGGGATTAAAATAGTTGAAAAACATGCTTGATCCTCTGAGGATCCCAGAACTTACCTTCATTTTTGAAGCTTCTAACAATGTTTGCAGATGGCATAGATGTCTTATCAGTGGCAAACCTGTTATAGAGCTCTAACATATATTCTGGAGGGTCAACCTTGGCTGCTTCTTGCGTGGGAATGTCAGAGAGGTTAAGAGCCTTCAGCAATGCATTTTGCAAATTTTGAAGCAGCTCATCCTGTTCATCAAAAAATGGCATGTCTTCCTCCAAAAGAGGTACATCTAGGCTCATTATGGGACTACAGTTTGCAAGGTGGACTAGAAAAGAGAGGGCTGCCCAGATCTGAAAGGCTACAGAATCCATTCCTTTGTTCTCGCTGGCCACAGTACTCAACAAGTTTTCGCTCTGGTGCTGTCTAAGTGGCTGTTGTATCCCCAGCGATGGATATATACGGCTTGTGTCAAAGACAGTTGACAAGTTTGGAAACTCTTTGCTTGAAACTTGTGATCAGTCTCCCTCCCTCTGTCATCCCCCCCCTCTTCACCGAGATTTTAGTAATTGGATATGGCTTGCTCTGTCTTCTATGGTAGCTCTCCCTTATCTCCTCCAGTGTAAGCTGTTCACCAGCTTTCTGTTGCTATCTCACAGTCCTTTCTCTTAATGAGCATTTTGTAAACATTTCACATTAGGATGCTGTGAAATAAAGCAAATTTTTCTCTTCTGCAGAAGATCTGACTCTCCCTTTCTTGCTGCTTGCTCTGTTTGGCCTGGCTGGTCATTTTTAAACCACGAATCTTTGTTGCAGTTTCAACTAAATATGTGTACAACATCACATCCATGCTCCCTGTTGTTAACAAGTTTCTGCTAGCATAACAGAAACAACACATGTCTAGCAGAAGTAGGTAGAACTCCATTGAAACATCTGGCTCAGGTTCATCCATCTTCTCCAACTTAAGGGGAGGCCACAAAAACCTTCAAACGAGTACAAAAAGGTGGCGAGAAATGTCTGGAAAATGGAAATGTGACATTGCAGAAGAATGAGGTCTTCATTCAAAATAGATGTTCTCTGTTTAGGATGAATTACAGCCACTGATGGCCATTTTATTTATTGGAGGCTCAGTGGATTGAGAGCCACATGTAGTTCTTCCATGCTCTTTCTCCTGTTCCAGGAAATTGCCTGGTATGCCATTGCCCACTAACTCTTGCGGTCTGGCAGGTGGTTACCCCCTTGAAACAGCTGCTGGTGGAGGGAATGAAGGGTAGAAAAGCTGTGAGCCTCTCTGAGCTACAGGCCTCATGTCAGAGAAGTATTCTCCAACCATCGCCTGCCCTTCTCTGCATCCTGTGTGCTCTCATCTAAAAGCTAAACAAATTGGTTGCAGAGTAGAGACGGTAAAACTACCACCACCTAGCAGATACCCAGGAAAGGAGCAAGCTGGCTACGCCCCTATTCCTACAGCCACCTTGCTCTCACAAGGTGAGAGCATACTGATTATACTGTTTCAGACCATCGGTCCATCACAGTCAGTATTGTCTACTCAGACTGGCAGCAGCTTTTCAGGATCTCAGGAAGAGGTCTTTCACATTACCCACCAGCAATTTGAAAGCTATTTTACCTGGAGATGCTCGGGATTGAACCTGACACCTTCTTCATGCTAATCAAAGGCTCTTCTACTGAGCCACAACCCCTCTTCTCTGGGAGCTTTGACAATCACAATTTCTCATCTGAGCTTCTGTGCCTCATGCTGAAGAGAAAGTGGGAAAGCTGAGAAAGAAGCCCTTTTCTTACTCCAGATACTCAAGGCCTGGCTAAATGTCAACAGTGGTGGGAACAGACAACTCTACATACACAGAGATATTCTTAATTTCGAAGCTCAAGTTCTATATTGAACTAGCAGTAAAGCCCGTTGTGGAAATAAATACAACGAGATCTAGAAAGAGGCTCTGGGGAAGTACTCTGGCTTTGGGCAAACAGTGTCATTTTGCTGTGGTGACCTCAGCAGGGTATAATGACAGAGTCCACTGTTTTCTCCAGAGGAACTGATCTCTGGTCCCTGAAGAGCAGTTGTAATTTTGAGTGATCTGTAGCCCTCACCTGGAAATTGGCAACAATTGTTACCCAGGACGAAATGGCTGGTTTGGAGGGTGGAGTCTATGGCATTCTACCTGTCTGATGTCCCACCCCTCCGCAAACCCGACCCTCTCCAGGCTCCACCCCTCAAATCCCCAGGAATTTGCCAGCCTGGAGTTGGCAACCCCATCTCCTTCGCAGGTAACCATCAACCTACCATTATCTGCCCCTTTGACTTCAGCTGACTTCCGCTCTCCCTTCTGCAGAGCAATTGTAATTTTGAGTGGTCTCCAGCCCTCACCTGGAGATTGGCAACAATGGTCCCCCATGACGGACTGAGTGGTTTGGAGGGTGGAGTCTATGGCATTGTACCTGTCTGAGGTCCCACCCCTCCTCAAACCTCACCCTCTTCAGGCTCCATCCCTCAAATCTCCAGGAATTTCCCATCGGGAGTTGGCAACCCTATCAGGATTGGCCCCAATATGTTTTCTCCCAAAGGCCAAAGTAGGTGACTGGACCAAACTTAGTTGCCTACCAACAGGCACTGAGGGGAAAGTAGGATTGCCAGCTATAAGGAGGGAAATACCTGGAGTGTTGGGGGGTGGATTCTGTAGAGGGCAGCATTGGGGGGGGCGGAAGGACTCAGCAGGTATAATGTCATACGGTCTACCCTCCAAAGCAGCCATTTTCTCCAGGGGAAACTGATCTCTGTCATCTGGAGATCAATTGTAGCAGTGGGAGATCTCCAGGTCCCACCTGGAGATTGGCAACCCTAGGGGAAAGTCAGCTGCACAGCAGGGGGTTGAAGAGAATGGTTTGATGGGTGCTGGGCCAAGATTGGCAACAATAGTTACCCAGGAGCAAATAGCTGGGTTGGAGGGTGGAGTCTATGGCACTGTAACCTGTCTGAGGTCCCCCTCTCCGGCCTCCACTCCTCAAATCTCCAGGATTTTCCATACCTAAAGCTGGCAACTTTATCTCCTCCCCTCTCAGTAGCCTCTTATTTTGCCTTAAATTGGTTTTGATGCCAGCAGAGTGAGAAAATGCCAGAGGCTCTGGGTGGGTGCCTCATCGTAAATGCACCAAACAATTCCTAAAGATTTGCCAAAACACTACTCTGTCGACAAATTGCAGCACTTTGAATTAGCACCAGAGCTTTAAGAGCTCTCCAGCTGTCACCTGGAGACTGGCAACAGCTTGTTTGGAGGGTGGGGAGTATGGCATTGTATCTGTCTGAGGTCCTCCTCTTTCTCTTCCTCCTCCTCCTCCTCAGACCCCACCCTCAGCAGGCTTCATTCCTAAACTATCCTGGAAGTTTCCAACCTGGAGTTGGCAACCCTATGTCCTGGAGTTTGAACCTGGAGTTGGCAACCATCAGCCAACGTTTATCTGCCTGTCTGTCTTTATAACCCTCCCACACACACACACACACAGCCTCTGCCTAGGGAGCAGCTGACATCATTCATTTGAAGCCGTCCATGCTTGTAGCCGCCACCACTTCCTGTGGCAGTGAATTCCAAGTGTTAATCACTCTTTGGGTGAAGAAGTACTTTCTTTTATCCGTTCTAACCCGACCGTCATCATTCTCCTCTCCCCCTATGAGGTATGTTAAGGTTGAAAGTGTGTGAATGGTCCATAATCCCCCAGGCAGCTTTTAAAACATGATCCTGGGACCTACACATCACCAGACATTCCAACTGCCTTGTTGGGGAGGGGGAGTATGAGGTGTGGAATGGAGTGAAGTCCAATCAGCTTCCATATGCAAAAGACCCTGAAGGTTCCATATGCAACTGACATTCCAACTGCCTTGCGGGGAGGGGGGTGATTTTGAGGTGTGGAATGCAGTGAAGTCCAATCAGCTTCCATATGCAAAAGACCTTGGAACGCTGGGCGGGACTGCACAAAGCAGCCAGTCAACCCAGCCAGTGTCTTCTGAGTGGCAGTTTTTCCGGCCTAACACTAAAGGGGCCAAATTTAGAATGTTCATATAGAATGTTCTTACTCAATTATATATAAGGAGAGATATTAATACATGCAATATTTGTGTGTGTGTGTGTGTTTGATGTGGTGGTATACAGGGTACCCAGTTGTGTCACTCTTTTTGTTGATGACAATTGTGAATGTGGCTCTCAACAAGTCACGGAGTACATTTCACTGATCTGATTATTTGAGATAGACAGTCTCACTGAGATTCTCAGATATTGCTTACTGTGGCTGTCCAAAATGTGAAGATCAAAGCCTGAGTCTGGTGTTTTGAGTTTCAAGTTCTACACAAACATTTAGAATTTATTTTGTTTTTTGAAGCCTGATCTCAGTTTTTGAAGCCCTGGATAACAGAGCTTGTGAATCATCTTCCTAAAATAGCTTTCAAAATACAAAATTGCATTTCCTTTAAAATGCCATAAGTTTCAGCTCTTCAGCCTGATGAAGAAGAGAACGGTGTACATGATATTTGGTATGACTTGCGAGGTGCCAGAATTAATTTTAGAAGGCCAATTCAAACTCTCAAATTATTATGTTTTGCAAATGTCATGCTTAGGAGATTTTGGGCCTAAGTGGATGACACGAAGGCAAATTAGAGACTGCAAAAATGACTCACTCATCTATGAGTGGTGGGCAGGGAAGGCATGCCCTCCTCTGCCCCACCCATTTCATATGTATGGAGACTTACAGTGCCATTCTAAACAGAGTTACAGCCTTCTGTTGAAGTCAGCGGACTTAGAGGGCTGCATGGGTTGTACTGTTAACATCCACATTGGATATAAACATTTACAAGTTGTACGGCTGATTCTCGGATTTTATTTGGGGAACCAACCATGCCTATACCCAGTTCAGAGGTTACGATAGCTCTTAGCTGTTCAGAGTTTGGGCAAACTGTCCACCCAACTGAGAGGGCCAGCACCCATGCCTGGAGGAGCACATTATCCGATCAGCTCAAAGAAAAGCCAAATTAGGGTTGCCTGCCCTTGCAGCTTAAGGCCAAGGAGGATAGGGATAGAAAACCAGAACACAAGGTTTCAAAGCCTTTTTTAGTATTCGTTTCTGGTGGTGAATGCCAATGAGCTCCAATGGGAAGGGGGGATCTGCAGCCATAAAGACAAGCCAGGCAGACGAGCCTTGCCCTACCTTGGCTCATTTGCATGTGTAGTCTCTGAGGAAACTACTGGGACCCTGCCAAGTGCATGGAAAGGGGGCAAAGGGAGACGTGACGGCGGCACAGCTCCTTGTGTGAAATCAGCCCATGAGTGGTAGCAAAGTAGCACTCCCGATGCAAAATCTATTTCCCCTTTTC